CTATCACCAGTGCTTTTGCCCCCTTATAAAAACAACAACAATAATAAAAAACTACTTTGTGTTTAAAGAACCTATGCAACATTACTTGCAGTTGAAACAATACAAACTGACAAAGCAGACACTGTTTTCCTTTGAGTAAACATAAAATCCACATAAAGATTATATCTCCTAAAAAGAAAATTGAAAACTTTGAATACATAGTCCACAGTTGATATTCCCTACAAACAGATAAACCCCTTTACCTTGTTTACTGGCACTGTCATCAAAGTCATCGGGAGGAGGACTGGCCATGAGACAAGTTGCCGCTGGGACTGTTATGTCGGGGCCAAGGACGACACCAGCTCCAAGAATGCATCCTGGTGATAACTTTACATTTTCTTCTAATACAACATTGTCACTCAAGAAACACTGTTCGATGTTACAACCAGACTGTAAAGCAAACAAAACTGATGTTGAATCTGAAAGCTGTTAGTTATAAACTTAAAATCACATCCAAAGATATTTTTTTAAATTATCAATCTGTTGAATCACATCTGTTGATTTGTAAATATTTCTTAAACAAATTTTGTGGAAAACATACTAGATGAAAATAAAAAAGAAGGAAAAAGACTGCTACTTTAACCACTCAAAGAATATATACCCGCAAATTAAGAGATAATTCCTTAATTTTTCTTTTTATGCCTAATATGTACATTAATCAACAATGATTGACAAGCTGTTCTCACTGGTAAATCCTTATTTCCTTATTATTTTTACAATACCAGTTACTATAAAATATAACATAAAAAGGGTATAAGGTAAATCATTCACTATTTTAGTAATCATGAACCTTTACCGGCAATTAAAGTGAATCTAAAATACAAGAGTAGACATATCAAGATGAATACTAGGTGAGACTTCCTGGCATGACAATGAATGATACAAATAATGATTAAGAATCAACATACCTTAACAGTAACGTTATTCATGATAAAAGTTGTATCAGCAACAACATTATCATGAATGAAGCAGTGATCACCCACTATGGTGTTCCGCAGTTGAGCAGTCATGTTGACCTCCGACCCAGCACCCACAACTACACCTGTACCACAGCTGCTTCTGCATTACAAAATAGTTTGGAGAAGCTAGTTCTTCATTGCAGGCTTTTATAAGGATAAAATCCACACATATTCCAGAGAAGCAACAGAACACAGCACTCTGAATTCCTCTATATGCTAATTCTAGAGAAAACATTTATAATGTACAAGAGACAGTAATTAGAAACAAGGTTTATACTCACTTATGGAATTTTGCTGAAGGCTCCCAGTAGTTTGAAGTGAAGGAGTCAAAATTGTAACGGATGCGGTGGCTAGTTAAGCTATGCTCTGGGACCATTGGGTAGGCTAAGCGACGGACCACTTCAGAACTGATGATGAAAAGTTATTCATATGTAATATTACCAAACAAAAATCAACAAAAGTAAATATGAAATCCTTTAACACTAATAAAAAAACATGATAAAATACTGTTATACAGATCTTATATCAATAACTTTTATTTTACTCTCACTTATGATCAATCCTGAAATCTGGAAACTGTCTCAGACATCACAAAGAAACATATACCACACTAAAAATGAATTTATCAATAATCATACCACAGAGAACCTATAAAAAGGATGCAACGTGAAAAGACAATATTCAACACAATGGGGAGTACATGAATTAACTATGGTAGCCTCTTTTGCTACTTTCACACACCTGACTTCTTCATACAGAGTGAGGGAAGAGGCTCTTGCAGAGTAGCCAGAGTCTAAAATCTCACAGAAGATTGAATAGCCTAAAAGTTCTTCCTGTTCGATCACACCTCGCAGTAAACTATCTCTTGTTCCATAATCAAAGTTATCAGAAAATAAGGATGCGACAATTTCAGAACACATGGCTATGCCAGGATCCTGGACTGCTGGTAATACTTTCAACTGGTTACAGCCCTGAAACAGTTCCTGCAAGGAAGGGAAAGAAAATATCAGTAACAATAAAATTAAATTTGTTCTTAAAATTATATATGCACTTTCTGCTTCCATGTGAGTGATGAGTGAGAGGGTGTGTGTGTGTGTGCTTGTGAGTGTGTGTGCTTGTGCATGTGTGTGTTTGTGGCATGTGCGTGTGTGTTGTACTTGTGCATATGTGTGGTTGCTTGTGCATGTGCATGTGCTTGTGCATGTGTATGTCCTTGTGCCATTATGTGCTTGTGCAGGTGTGTTTGCTTGTTTTGTGCGTGTGTGCTTGTTAGTGCGTGTAACCCAGCTTTATACACGGACTTGGGGAATTGTGGAGGGGTCCATGACGTGTGTCAGAGATGGAAGAGGCGGAAAGGGGGAGAGGATGTGACGTTTGTAAAGAGAGTTGAAGACGTCATAGGTGGAAGTTGTGAAGGCTACCGCATTTTCCGTGTGGATGTTTAGGCTTTATACAACGACTTGTGGAATGTGGAGGGGTGCCATTGATTTCAGAATGGGAAGAGGCGGAGGGGACGAGGATGTGACGGTGTATAACAAGAGTGAGACGTCATAGGTGAAAGGTTGTGAGCTACCGCATTTCGTGAGTCGTGGATGTTTAGGCGTGGGGTATGTGTGGCAGATATACTTGTATAGGTTATATATTAAGGGTATTGATATAGGAATTGGCAATAGGTAAGAAAGGAAGAGGGCGTAGCCCCCTAGGAGTTAGGCCTGAGTACGGCCCGATGTGCGAGGTGATTAAGGGGTGATATAAGTGTCCCGTGACCATAAGAGGTCATGGTGATAGAGAGCTATTACAGTGGCGTGTGTGCTTGTGTTGTGTGTGTGCATGTGATTGTGCTTTCGTGTGTGATGTGCGTATGTGGTGTGCTTTGTGCGTATATTTGTGTGCTTGTGCGTGTGTGTGTCTTGTGCGTCGTGTGTGTGCTTGTGCGTGCCTGTATGTGTGCTTGTGCGTGTTGTGCGTGTTGCTTGTGTGGTGTTGTGCTTATTACTTGTTGTGTGCTATACTTGTGTGTGTTGCTTGTGCGTGTTGTGATGTGCTTCGTGCGTGTGTGTTGTGCTTGTGCGTGTGTGTGTGCTTGTCGTGTGTGTTGTGCGCCTTCGTGCGTGTGTGTGTGCTTTGTGCGTGGTGTGCTTGATGGCGTGATTAGGTGTGCTTGTGCGTGTGTGTTTTGCTATTACTTGTGTGTGTGCTGTGCATGTGCGTGTGCTTGTGTGTGTTGTGTGTGCTTGTGCGTGTGTGTGTTGTGCTGTGCGTGTGTGTGCTTGGCATGTGTATGTGTAAGTGCCCATTCATGAGTGAAACACGTGTGTGCAAGCTGATATGTTGATATGAATGGCTGTATGCATGTGCATATCTGCCAAAATAAAAGCAAAGGGTGTACATACATCTACATATGAACGTATGGTGTACAACTGGACCAAAACTACTTTTTTCATTACTTACTGTAGGGATAGGGAGTTTGGAAGCAGAATGAGGCCGCACATGATGCAATAGCTTGTTGTTAGCTGCATTTAAGATTAACAATGCTGCTTCTTCCTGACACTTCACGTCCTTATTCATGTAAACACAAGACATGATTGCACTCTTGTCGGCAGCACGGCGCTCCCTGTACACAAATAAAAATCCAGTTACCTTTATCTGTACACTTAAAAATATACTAATCCTCCATCAACTAAGTACAAAAACAAACAACAAACAAACACACACACACACATAGTCTCCCTCTCTAATACAGGCTTATAATTCACAAAACATCACATCTTTATTTGACATTCCAGCAATGAGCAATATTCTCAGCGTAACACTTACTTGTGCTTTGCCATCAGTTCCCTGAGGTCTACATTAGAGACTACATCGCCATAAATGAGGATGAAATTCTCTTTCAGGCGAGACTTGGAGTAGAGATCCCTCATGGCATCTCCCACAGAATGGCAGTCCTCGGAGGCTACCACGGAGATCTGAGGGCTCTTCTTCTGCCGTCGCATTTCAAAGCCACTGGAATACAGTTTTATTTTATAAATGGTTGAGAGAGAGAGAGAGAGAGAGAGAGAGAGAGAGAGAGAGAGAGAGAGAGAAGAGAGAGAGAGAGAGAGAGAGAGAAGAGAGAGAGAGAGAGAGAGAGAAGAGAGAAGAGAGGGGGGGGGGGAGGAAAGGAAAGAGGAAAGGGAGGAAAGAGAGGGAGGAAAGGAGGAGGAGAGGGAGGGAGGGAGGAGGGAGGGAAAGAGGGAGAGGGAGGGAGGGAGGGGGAGAGGAGAGGGAGGGAGAGAGAGGGGGAGAGAAGGGAGAAGGTGGAGGGAGAGAGAGGAGAGAGAAGAGAGAGGAGAGAGAAGAGAGAGAGAGAGAGAGGAGAGAGAGAGAGAGAGAGAGAGAGATGGAGAGAGGAGAGGGAGAGGGAAGGGAGGGGAGAGGGAGAGGGGGAGAGGGAGAGGAGAGAGGAAGAGAAGAGAGAGAGAAGAGAGAAGAGAGAGAGAGAGTGAGAGAGAAGAGAGAGAGAGAGAGAGAGAGGAGAGAGAGAGAGAGAGAGAGGGGGGGGAGGGATGTGGGAGTGGGATTGTGAAGGGAGAGAAAGAGAGGAGAAAGAAGAGAAGAGTAAGAAAGAGAGAAGAGAAAAGAGAAAGAGAGAGAGAAGAGAGAGGAGGAGAGAGAGAGAGAGAGAGATGAGAGAGAGAGAGAGGAGAGAAGAGAGAGAGGAGAGAGAAGAGAGAGAGAGAGAGGAGAGAGAGAGAGAGAAAGTAAGAGAAAAGAGAGAGAAATATCTGAAAGTGAGGCATCTAATAATACAACAACTCAATCTACAATGAGTAATAATTGAAGTAAATGGTCTAAAAAAAAATCAATATCATGCAGAAGGCCTACTGTAAATAAAATAGGAATAATATAGATATCAAATAAATAACACAAACAGAAATAACTATTTGTATAGAATATGCTTACCGGCAGTGCTGGCGAATTTGTTCCGCATGGGGCTGAGCTCGACAATACACTATCACTTCA